ACAGCCTTTTTACTGCCAGGCCATGATTTGGGCTTAAATAGATATATATTAGCTAAGACAAGTTTAAATCCAGAGCTGGCAGTTAAGGAATCCAGGCCTATGTTTTGTTTAGCTGATCTAAGAGAATCACTTTTATTCTAATTTCTATTTATAATAATTCAAGTTTTAGCATGTCAAAAGAAAAAGACTCAGGAAACATTTGTTTCTGTATGTATGGCACTCATTACTTTGGATCTGATATTGTAATATCACTGGTTTATATCCCTGGTGAGTTGCAATTATTTTAATCACTTCAATATGATGAGAAGAAAATGGATTGGTTGTATTTCACAAAGAAACTCTTTGTGTTAATGCTCATTACCCTGTGAAATTTATATATCTATTAAAGAGGAATTATCTTAATTAGATTTAAAATCTGTTGTGAGTGTTTTGTGTAGAAAAGGATTATTTAGCGCTGACTAAACCAGACTATCTGACTACATTCAAATAAATGTCACTTCTCTTGTCTTCATTACGAGGTTTTATTTATCTTTAATTTGCTTGTTTTTTTCTGACCTCCAGTGGTTTCTTAAAATGATGTTGAAGTGTACTTCAGGGTGTGTCCGTACAGCATGACATCACAGTTGGGCGTGGTTACAAGCAGGTTGATACAAGTCGATTGAAGCTCTTGCTGGTACCACCCAACCTTCATCGCTTCATATTGTTCTCCTTCCACCCCTCCCAGCTCCATGCATCCCTAAACACACGCACACACCTGGATGGTGTGGATGGAAATAGAAACACTTGACATCATGCGTAGCAAATGATTTATATAAACGGTGCCACAGAATAATTTCTGAATGTTGCCAAACTTTCAAAATCATAAGAATTTATTTAGTTTTAAATTAGAAGAAAATAACAAATTTCACTGTTTACAAGTCTTGAACATCGGGCACACAGATGTAAGAAGAGACGATGATGTGTAAAATGTTAGGGGAAAAAAAATATTTGGTGTAATTAATTACATTTTATTCATCCTTGCTCTGGGCAAAAGTACATGGTTTGGTCCTGAAAAAATCCAAAGTACGGAAACAATAAAAAGCTTATTGGCAGAAAACGACAAAAACCCACCAAGGTAATTATAGTAATGAAAATAAATTAAATAAGAAAATATGTGAGAAATAACATTTTAGAAATTAAAATAAAAATGAAAAGTAGGCATTATAAAATATGAAAACTAACACAAACAGCATTATTTACTTACAAAAGTAACTAAAATAAAATAAAATTATAAAGGAAATGTCTTATTTGTTAACACATCTGTTTATTGAGACTGGGATGTCTACATGACTGTAAATCAATAGCCTTCACAAAATGTTTGTATTGTACCTATTCTGAACTTCTTAAATCTTGCCCCTGACAAATAAACCCTCATAACAAAAACAACCTAAAACTAATACTTAAACCAATAAAAAAACAATAAATTTGAAACAATAAAAACTAATGAAAAATACAAACTATAATAACTCAGAAACCCACAGCACCCGAGACTTAACAGTTTTGGAAAGGCAGTGGAGTTCCCTCCAGCATGAATTGTGTGCACAAGTAGATTTCTTCTGGAGAATGCATTATTTTTTGGACATGAGTACAGATAACCAGAAGTCTAATCAGCTTAGTCAGGAAGCAGCATCTTCTTTCAAATTTGACTTTGAGCACATTTTGTATGAGGGAATTCCTTTGGTCTTAAATCTGCATTAACTGATATTTTAGCCCCTTGGGGGCATTGCAATAAGCTGTTAACCCTGATATATTATCACCTTTTAAACAACTGCTGTGTAGGGTTAGGTGGCATCTAGCAGTGAGTTTGCAGATTGCAATTCACTCGCTTCACCCTCCCCTTTCAAGTGCGAAGGAGAAACTACGGTGGCTGTGAGACGTGCAGAAAACATGTACTGCCCTGTCTAGAGCAGTGTTTGGTTTATCTGTCTTGAGCTAAACATAGTGGTTCAACATGGGGGCCTCCACGGATGGCAACCACTGCATCTGTAGATATAAACAGCTCATTCTAAGGCAACAAAAACATAGTTATTCTTATATTGAGGTGATTATACACTAATGAAAACATACCTATGAATATTATATTCCATTTCTGACAACAGATCCTTTTAAATGTTACACACTGGACCTTTAAGTTGATACGTGGAATGTAAGTCCAATATTCACCTCCTTTTGGCTCTGTTTTGGTCTCCACCACCTCCTGGGGTGAAATATTTGGCTCTTTAAATGCTCTTTTATGTTCCCCAGCTATTCTCCTCACCGTGGTAAATGCTAGAAGAGTCTGTTACAGGCCAACAGGAAAAGATGAAGGGAAAGAAAATTAAAACCTTTGATGTACCACGAAAAAGCACTGCAGCAGTAATCCTCCAAACACAGTTGTTTTCTGAAATACAGTAAGATGAGCTTCTGATAAATAGACACTGACTAATTGAGTGGGAGGTGACCTTATATCCCTGTTAATTAGCACTGCATGCATAATTACCAATTATCACTTACTTTACATAACACTCTAACAATAACTGCAAGCAAAAGATGCCTGCAGCAATTATATCTCATCATTTGCAAGCAGATTTTAATTGAGTCAGCCAGTTTCACTCACGGACGGTAATTATTGTGAATGACTCAATAAAAACACAATTAGCAGACGATGCAGTGTCACATTAAGTGTAGAATATGTTTTTCCGACTGGCAGCATAAGTTAAGACTTAAATAAAAGTGAGAGGGCTCAGGGGAAAAGTGACTAATAGTGTGAGTGTTTGTGTTTACTCTGCTCCCCTTCATCCCTCCCTGAGTCTGCTCCTTCTCTCTTTTTTCCAATTAGGCATTAACAGTTTTCGCCAACCCGTCCGACAAAAGGTTAAATGACTGTAAACGCTACCACCGCGCTCAGTTTCAACTCTAGCGTTTAAAAAGATGTGTCATGTTTCCTCTTGCACCCCTGAGCCAAAGAGAAGGTTGGGAGGTGTGTGTGTGTGTGTGTGTGTGTGTGTGTGTGGGCTCCATTTGTGTTTCATAGATGTATTAAAAACCTTTATTGCCTATGACCACAAAGCCAAGATGAATTGGTGCTTATTGTGAAACAGAGAAACATTTATTTTTTTTAAAAATATAATTTTCAGATGCTTATTTTCGATTGGCTTTACGGATGGCAATGTTGGCCCAGTTATAGCATGGATTGCCATTAATTCAAGTTTATACAGACATTCATGCTCTCCAGGGGAAAAATTCCTAATGCCCATTCAGATCCCCTGGTGAGTGAAATGTCCCGACAACTACTGGATAGACTGACGTGGAATTTGCCACACACATTCATGTCCCCCTCAGGAATAACTGTAATAACTTTGGTCAGCTTTTCATCTAGTGCCATTGTCAGGTCAAACTTTATGATTAAATACTTGCAAAACTGGCATTCCCATCAGCCTCAGCTGTACTTGGCGTTTAGCACTAATTAGCCATTTTAGCATGCTAACAGATTAACAGATGGTGAACATTGAAAACACCTGCATGTTAGCATTGTGACTACATAGGCCTCTTAAACCATATAGTAGTTCTGTTTATACTCGTACTTCAGACAAAAAGACACTGTTGTAGAATGACTTCAGCAGTATTTAACAAAAAAGACCACTAAATATCACATAAACATCAAATAAATTCATTCTATTTCCTCAAAAAAGTTGTTTATTAGTGTTTATAAACCATATGCATATCAACAAGATATTCCTAAACCTAACATGCAAGTGAATAACATTCACTGTCATTCCCGAGAGGAACCATTAATCATATTGAGACTTTTGCATACTTCTGCTTATCACGAGACTTCAAAATCTGAGAATTTATCTGAAGGAGATCGTGATTAATTTGAAACAGAGGTCAAAGAAGGATAAAGTGCAAGTAAACACTGCAGAATCCCCAAGTGAACTGTTCATTTCGATTTTAGGGAAGCCAATCAAAAGAAATCACACGGCTGAATAAATGCAATCAACACGAAAAACAGATGTGGTATGATAATTATGTACAAACACTGAAAAATATGAGCAATAATGTTAGGAGTAGGCTTAAATAATTTGAGAGGAATTAATAAAAAGGCCTTTAGGTTATTGGTTTCTGTTGCAGGTACAAAAAAAAATCAGAGAGAGGTGTCTTCGTGTTGATGCTGGAAGATTGTGTTTGCTCTTAAAGGAAAGGAAAGCAATGATTGGAACAGTCATTATAGGGTAGTTTAACTAAAGAGAATGCAATCCTGTTCTAATAACTTTCACACTGTGTATTCTGGTGCTGCCCTCTGTCTTTTGAACAAGTGGATCTGGTGATTTGGTAACTTTTAGGTTCAGTTTGTACACAGATGTTACAGATTATAGTCCAGTGAATGTTTCCAATTATACAAGGAAGCAGGGAACAGTTCTTACCTCCTTACTTCTTTTTTTTTTTTTCTTTCTTTAATTTCCATCCATTGCAGTCAAGCCTTGATGTTGCGGCTATAATGATCCAACAGGGATTCTACACACTTGCTGGATACTGTTGTTGTGCCAGTGTTACACTTGAGATGTTTCTAGCTTGAGGTGAATATTATTAAAAACACACATACAAATTTGCAGTTCATTGTTCCGGAGGTTTCTTCCGGGAGCCCAGTTATCAGCAGAGGTCTCCTTCTCTCCTTAAAAAATCGGACCCAGTTAATTAAACGGGGAAAAAACACTGAATAAAGCAGTTTCACCTTGAAAATCCCTGTTTCTCCGATGCTGTTTGGCAGACAAAGGACGTCCTGGAAGTCCTGCCAGCCCAGCTGCTGCTAACGTTAGCTCAGCTTGTTTCTCTGATAACTTAAGATCCAAATGTCCAATGACAAAAAAATCCCCCATCAGGTTAAAATACATAGTTAAAAACGACAAAGATCTAAAAATGTATCATAAAAATGTTTAAAAATAATAAAAGTACACAACTCAACAAAATATATAACACAGGTCTAGTGTTTTATAGACATTTTAATGTGGAAATATTACATATAATATTTTTCACTATTGACTGGAAGTTAGCTCAATAAGAGAATGTATGAATGACTGGCCATAGGTTTCACATACTTCACTGTTTATCTGCCAATCTACGATATAGATCTTATCAGATGGGGATTTGGGGGTCCCAAAAAGGTTGAGAACCACTGGCCTACAGGAGCCACCAGTGAGGATTAAAGGTTTATGCAGTGGAAAACCCTCATCCGGGCCTGTTGTCACTCACTCGTTAAGCAACACTCGGTGGAGAGTGTGTGAAAAGGCTGTGTAGAGCAGAGCAGTGAAGTGGAGCAGAGAGTTTATTTTGGTTGATTATCATCAATCATCATTCTTTCATTATATACATGTTGCATATCCGTTTGATCAGCTGCTTCTGCTTTCCTTCACAACACCACTATGATTACAATATTCACACACAAACACGATTAAACCTGTTTGTAGTCATTATCAATGTTGATTTATTTGATGAATATTTGTGTATTTATTCAGGTTACTTACATGCACGGATGAAAGAACCCCAGTATGGTCCTGTAGTGCGGACCACCAAGGCATTGCAGCGCCAATAAAGGACTTACAGAAAACTGAGGGCTTCTTGAGCTGTTGAATAAAATTCTTTGTTTTATGGTTTCGGTAGATTGATCATGATTAGAAAAACAAATTCAGTGAGTTTCTGACATTTATTATTCATTGTGCAGTTATATTACTTTAACAAGCATGTGGGCATGTTGGTTTTTGACTTATAACTGCTTGTGCTGTTGCTTTTGGGGAATTGCTAGGTCATGACCTTAAACTGGGATTATCCAAATTAATGTGTAAGTGTAACTTTTAGGATGCAATAAAACCTCAAAATGAAGTTAGTACTTGTGTTTTTTTTTGACAAGCCAAAGGGTTGAATGTGTAATCACCCTAAACTGACCTTGCACATTTTCATAGGACTTTTGGACTATGAAATAGAGAAAATACTAAACCAAAATCTTGACGTAATGACCCATAAAACATCTTTCCTCTTTGTGTCTTTAGACTTGCACAATACTCTTTTGATGGCTTTGACAAATAACTGCAATCCCACTGGGAAACATCATACACGCTGCATGATTTAAGGATGAATAGGCTCGGGTAAACATTTATTGCACAACATTCACACTATAATGAGTGCCAATCCTATTTGATGAGTCAGTGTCTCTGGTAAATGAGTCGATAAAAAGATAGCGAAGAGTACTTTGTAAAGACAGAAACCAGTTTTCTTGGTAGGGGATAATGTAAGATTTTGGTCCTGTGTTGAGCAACAAGGCCCACATTTCCACCAGGACAAGAGAGGAAAAAAAAAATCTGCAGCAGTGTCAGCTTTCACTGTTCTCACTTGTGATAGTATCAGGTGTACTTTGAACAAGCTTGTGTTTGGTTAAAACTAGCCTTGCGTAGAATGGGTGGGGTAATGTGTTTGAACAGACAAGGTGAAGTCTCCTGTTGTGATACGTGCTCAGGCAAAGAACGGGCATGAATGGAATCTTTTACCTCTCACACTGGAGAGAGCGCACACTAAAGGATTACCCACTCTTTGGAAAGAACTGATTTGAATCTTCATTAAAACCGCAATGGAGGCAACCAGTGACACCACAAAAATCCTTGAGAAGGGTCCTGAATACCTTAGAAAGCAAATGGAACTGGAGGGTGAGGCGAAAGGACGCATGAGCGCCGTGGAAAGGCTCGCTGCAAGCAAACCTAAATATGTCAAAAGCCAACAGGTGGTCAACTCAATTCAGGAGCCAGTGATCAGTCTTGGATCAGCCTCTGTGAGCAGCACCGGGTCTTCTAACCGGAGCTCGAACCGTGGTGGAAATCTTGCCATAGGGAGCAACTCAACGGACCGTACATGCGGTGCACAAAGCTGCTCACCAGGGCAGGTGCGTAGGTCCAGCTCCAAAAAACGAGACTCCCTTCTGTTTTACAGACAGAAATGCGAGTTACTGAGAGGGACAGCAAATGACCGGAAACACCACATAACACGTAAGTTGCTGCTCAGCTCTGTGCAAAAAAATATTCCGTTACCTGAGGCGGCAGATAAGGAGTGTGAGTCTGAGGGCAGCAAGGAAGAAATCACCACACCTGAGGGAACAGCAGAGGAATGCAGCTCATGTATAGTTACCACTCAATCAGAGAGGAGGAGGAACGGAGTAGCAGAACAACACAACGCAGGAGATACTGCTCCTGGGACAAAGGTGACAGCTGGTGTGGCTAATAAATCTGCTGGTCTCTTGACAGTTCCTGAGTTTGAAAGGAGGTCTGGCAAAGGGGTCAGTCGTTCTCACTCTGACATCAGCTCCAGGTACTCCAAAAACTTTACAGACTTTGATGCTTTTTTCAAGTACTGCGGACTGGGCGGTGAGGTCATTGAGTCTTTGGGGAAGGAGAACTTCTCGGCGCGCTCGGATGAGATTGCAATAAACCTCCGGAGTGTCAGCATTTCGACATCGGACGACGGCTTCTCCAGGAACAGCGGTGAAAGCGACGGGCTACTTGAGGACGAGTTACATGAAAAGATACGTCAGGGGACGTCAGTTATTGAGCGCAATGCAAGGATTATCAAATGGCTGTACAGCTGCAAAAATGCCATAGAGACTGGAAAAAAATTAAGAGACCTTGGATGAGCCAATTTAATTTTTACTCTACAGAGGCCAAATGCTTAACTTACACCGTTGTACTGATGATACATTTTATCCATTTATCACATTTTATTGCAGAAAATACATCAAAACACTGTGTGTGTGTCTATGTGTCAAAGTTATTACTATTAATTAAAACTAAACTAAAAACTAAAACTAGGTGTGAAAAAAACAGACTGGGATGTTTACATGACTGTGAGTCATTGTGTTTGTATTGTAATACCTATTCTGAACTTCTTAAATCTGGTCCCTGTCAAATACTATTTAATACCCCCATATTATAACAAAAAAACTAAAACTAACACTGAATTATTTTTTTTATTATTTTTTTTTTAAACTAAACTAAAACTAACTGAAACTAAACTAAAAATGTAAAACAAACATAAAAACTATATATATTATATCATTGTTTCTTTTGGTTTCTGTGAACACTGTATCTTACTTCTGAGAAAAAGCATGTTTGCTTCTGTTCAAACTTGCATGAAATTGTTCCCTGTAACGTTTGAGGCCACAGGAAAGCCCCACACACCGTGAAACACGATGTTGACTGTCTTGAAAATGTGTATTTACCAAACTGTGCATTCTTCATAGATTTATCACACAACTACTCATTTAGAAAATATTGTGTTAGAGGTCAAAACTACGTGCATTTGAAGACACACAAATCCAGAAGAGTAAATAGATTAGAATTTTAGCTTCAGTGATATTCAGCAAAAATGATCCACTGACCAAAAATATTGAAACACTGATGTCTGTCCTCAACTGAAGAACTAATTTCAAACATATTAAGTTCAATTAATAGTACTTTTAAAAAAATACTTAATACTTTTTTAATTTATATATGGTTAATAAATCCTTTATTCATGATCTAAAAGTCAGTTAAAAAACATTATAAAGAACATATTTTTAGTTGCCAGATTGTGAAACTTTTTCCTTTGGCTGAGGTTTTGCTAATACTGTAGTAACAAATGTTCTTAATCCATTAATAATAAGTTAGTTATTAATAAATAGATTTTGGTCCAGATCCACTGAAAGTTAAGTGTTCATCCCTAAAAGGGAATTTTCCCAACCTGGCCACCCAAAAAATGTCTTATTACTAATCTATACAATATCAATAAATTATATATTATCCATTTAAAAACAGTTACAACTGACATTTATAAAAGTTACTATGAATAGAAAGTGGTCCCAGTGAATTCTAGGTAAAGGCTTATAGCTCATATGATGTTCCACAGCAGGACCTTCAGACCACCACAAGCATGAAAGTGCCCTTAAATCATAATTTATGTGACCTGTGTACTCCCCCACTTCTCTAACGGTGAAAGGTGTACATACGATCACACACACACACACACACACACACACACACCGCAGTTAGTATCTTCTTCTATACTTGTTATTGCGGTTAAGTTTCTCTTAATAAAATTGGTAAAATCATTTCATTTAAACTGCAGCCACACTAGAAACTTGTAGACTGGTTACTGTGTGGTTACTTTCCAACCAAAGAATCAGTAGGTCCGTGAGTCCTGTGTGAGAGGAATGTACCTAATAATCTGATAGGCTTAAGTCCAGTGACCCGTTGTAACTGTATCTCCACTTCCCTCCCAAATCCCTGTCTGCTTTGTCTATTCACCACTTTCTCTCTCTTTCTGTCCAACTTTCTGTGCAGATCAAAGCTCAGAGGTTGTAACACGAGTGGGGGGGGGAAAGCAAAGGACAGACTATTGTTGACTCCCTGTGTTAAACGAAATCCATCATTCAATCTGTTTCGTTCTCACGCAGAAGGAAAAAAAATATTTGTGTACAGTGCATGCAAGTATACACGTCGCTCTGCTGCTGTCAACACACCTTTCGGTTCTCCAGAATTCACATCAAAGCAAGTCATGTCTTGCCCTTTCCACGATTTTGTTGCCGGGAAGTTAGACGTTGTATCATCTTTTTGTTTAGGATTTATATTGTATAAAAGTGTTACAATGTTCTCTAAGCTGAAATACTAACTACTATTACCAAAACCAGGTTCAATCTGGGGTTGCTGCTGCCTGTGTAACATTGTTTTATACTGAATTACTGTAAATTCTGCGAAACTTATACACAAATAAAGCTGTTAGTTATTTTTCTTACAAATAATTTGTGTCCACGTTATTTGCACATGTAATCTTATATTTAGGCGAAACAACAGGGTCGAAATGTTTCCTTTTTTTAATGAAGTAAAGTTTTGGTTTAATGTAGGGTGTGGGTTCTCTATTGATATAACTCTATTGTTTCAATAAATAGTATATATTTATATCAATAAGGCCTCCAGTAGAGGTCAGGAATACATTATACTGCTGCTTGTAGTTTGGATTTACTGCATGAGGCCTAAAGGGGGCAGTATCTAACAACAAGATTCAACCTAATTACAGTGTTAAAGAACTCTATGTTATCAGGCCGTACTAAACCTCTGACTTCACTGTGATCACATATACTAACAATGCCCAGAGGACCAATAACCACACATAAACCGGTCTGGATGGATACTAGATATGTAATGCTATTTTTAGACTCTGGGGAAGACAAAGCAACAGGTTTTCCATTAGTGTTTCACCCACAAAGCATAATATGTAATGGCACGAATAAATACCAGAGCTGCAGACTTGTTGATATTATTTACTGTAAGTGGTCTTAACTTACTTGAGACTTGAATCCCTAAAGATTTGACTTGAGACCTGAAAGCAGAAGTTTTGACCTGTTATAATACAGGAACCATTTAATAATAATAAAAAAAGACATTGTTAGGTAGGCCGTACCAGGGACGGATCTGGAGAAGTATTCACGGGGTGGGAGGGTGGCATGGAGACGTTAAGGGGGGGTATCAATATATGCTGATTTAATCGCAGTCACATGTATCATTATTGCTTATTTTACTAAAACTGTTTTATTCCAGATCTTAAAGGCTTTTTCACAAATATATGTTTTGTTTCATCCTCTCACTCAGTCTAACATGTGGCCATAACATTTCATTACATTAATAATTTCTGTTTATAACATGTTCTTTTAAAGATGAATTTAAAGATGAATCATTTGACGCCAAACTCGGGTGGCCAGGTGTCTTCTAAGCCACCCCTGTAGATCCGCCCCTGGGCCTCACATGGCCATTAACCTTGAAAATGTAAAGATGTCAGCCTACAAATTATTAAAGATGCACCGAATACTGTTGTTTTTACACAAAAAAGTGCAATTATCTCATTTTAAAACAATACCTATGCAATCAGAATACTTTGGTCTCAGTTTTATAAAATACACTATTAAAATTAACATTCAGACACCTGTAAAAACAACATTATGACTTGCATTTTACATATTTAGACCTTTGACTTGACTTGCTCTAAAGGACCTGTGACTTGAATAAATACTCACTCTAAAAGGCTTTAGACTTTACTTAGACATCTCCAAAAGACTGGTAAATACAAGTGGTTAAAACAATTAAACAGCAACAGTAAAGCTGTACAATGCTACTATAAGCAGACCAGAGCACGACGTCCTGATAACAACAGCACAGTGACCTCTAAAATCACCACAAACTATAAAATAACAGAGCACTTTAAAACCTCTGATTACACTTATTTGTTTTAAATAAATGTTCACATCATCACTCACACAGCTGCCCAGTGGTCGCCTTCCCATCCTCCATCACAAAATCAAAACACAAGTACATGTGCGCAGTCTCTGTCACGTGTATAAAAAAACCCCAACAAAAACAGAAGGGATAAAAAATTTAAAAAAATAGAAGAACATAATTGACAGCCGCTGGCAGCCAATCAGCGACGCGCTTCTGGGTAGCAACAAGATAAATACCGAGGGCTCGACCAATCAGAGAGCAGCAAGGGGGCGGGGACGAATTCCAGGCTCCGCACTGTGTGTTTACTTCCGTCAATATTTCCAGCACGGCAGGCAGGAGAGTCACAGAAACAGGACAGATACACAACAAAGGAGTCGTTTAAGGTTTGTTTACCTGTTTTATAGAAATTCCCTAAACTCTGCTGTATAATAATTGAGATTCTGTGTGTGTTTCTGTCGTGTTTATGTGCGTTGAACCGACTGACAGCTTGTCTCATCTTTATTATTTTATATATATATATATATATATATATATATATATATATATAAACGTTAAAACGAGTTGGACAGCCACAATGCTGTTATTATTTCAAATGCTCAAGGTAAATGCGTCACAGTGGTTGTCAGGTGTGTTGTTAAAGACATTTGTCTCATTTGGGCCATTTTGTGTCTCTGTGTTTACCGGTAATATCAGGCTTTATACAGACAACGCTTATAAATCTAATGGCCCTTTTTGTTTATTTTTGGTAGTTTTGTCGCACAATAAGGTGATATAAACATGCAGGCTGCAGATTTTATCTATGGAGGCAAAGAAACGCCTTTATAGTTTAATTTATTGTTGGATTTTAAATTTACTGCACTGAAATGTTTTGAAAATCTGAATTTATTTATGAGGTTGTAGTTTTTCCTCTTTGAAGGTCATTTCAGCTGGTGCAAATTCAAAAACTTGCCCACACATTTGGATGCATTTGTCCCAGGTTTCCATTTGCTCTTTTAAACTTTTCTTTCAGAGGTCTAATCGATTGATTGTCCTCATCAGCTCTGATGTTCCTCTTTCACCTTGATGTCTGAATTTCCCTGATCACAACAGATTTTTGGTTTGACTTCAGTGTCAAATTAATTTAAGCAACCTGAATATACTTTTAATGAATTTGAACATTTTAGTCTGTATTTTTGAACCCTAAATATGTGACTAAACTTTCTAAATTGGGTACTCAGTTGTTTACTACGTCCCATTGCTTCCATAGTCTGATAAATAATGTGCATTTTGTTTTTCCTCCAGGTGTTTGCAGTAGCAGCGACCCTCTTCCCTCACAGTCCTCAGCCCCAGCTAAAATGCCTTTCTTGGGCAAGGACTGGAGGTCGCCAGGATGGAGCTGGACCAAGACAGAGCACGGCTGGAAGAGGATTCTCTTCTATGGACACGAGTTGGAAGATAACAACAGAGAGATAGACTTGAAAGAGTAAGATATTAACCTTCGTACTTTCTGTGTTCAAACCATATGGTTAATGAGTCTGGGGCTGGACGACCACTGAATCTAAACATTTATTGTGATATTTAGTGGTATTATATCTTGATGATCATAATGTGGGACTTTTTCTGCTGTCTATAGTAATGATTCAGACTAAAATCTAATTAAAAACTAACTAAATTAGTTTAATTAAGAATTAATTGTTATCTGATTACAGTATTTTATAATTGAAACATGTTACTAACATAATGATATTGATTTCAACCACATTAGTCAGCCCTTTGCTTTGCAGCAGTATAGAGTCTCCCTATACTTATATATATATATATATATATATATATAATACTATAAAATAAGCGTGTTATATTCAGAGCCCAGCAATAAATGCACTCAAAGTAGCCTCAACATTTGCCTATTCTACAGTAATATTATACATACTGAAATAAGCATCAGAATTGGAGGTTCCCTCAGAATCTTACTCCAGTGAACCAGTATAGCCAAGAGTAGATTAGATCTTATTATCTCAGTTTAAAAGTGAGCTCTAATGATTGATTGCAGCTTAACTGACTGCCAACGGCGCACTTTGAGTGTCGACACCTTCCAACTTCCACAAAATACCTCAAAAGTATTTTGAGAGGATTTTTCGAATAATTAAACAAAGGACGGCAGAGATCTGTTAGGAGGAGAAGGGGAGATGGGTTATGACAGTATGTTTTGATTACGCTGTCTTAAACTCTTAGACTACCAAAACTGACTAGAAATGATCTGATCTCTGTATATTTTAGTTGTTTATTGACGGCTCACAGTGTGTGTTAATGCCTGACTGCAAATTAAATCCTAGAATTGAATTTGAACAAGCACAAACTGAACCAGTGACCTTTAGTGGAAATGCTTGATACATCAGGGGAGAGGGAAGAAGTGGCAGGGATAATAACAGTGGTAAACTTCTTGACCGTATTGCACCGATAAGGGCATAGCTACTCAGCGCCAGAAAGGAAACCGTCAGCCCACTCTTATCAAGGCCATAGCGGAGAGTCTTTGATGAGGTGATTTGCATCCCACAATTACAGCCTGTTGTTGCCAAAGGGGCGTCATGGCAACAGACATAGTTGAGTATAGGGTTGGGTTTAGACGCTCGAGAGGGCAATTTTACAGGAGACCAACTTGTCGGTTTACCTTGTTAAAGAAAAGAGAAACATTCACAAATAATTGTGTTCACAATATCACAGAGGAGGATGTTTTAGAGCTGAAGTGTTGAGATCAGAATCTGAAGTATTGAGGTCGGGTGTTTTTTGTGTGTGTGAACTGAGTTGACTTCAAAGTATCCCCTCAAAGCCATAACACACATTCTTGTTGTTTACGAGCACTCGTCATGCAACCTGGTTGTAATATTTAAACTGTTAATGACACTGAATTAACCTGCAAAGGCCTGTGTTCTTCACTAAAAACTAATTGGGTAATTGTAGCCAATGTTTTGGCTACATGATTGACTGACTGTTTCAGTCATGGTAAAGCCTCTGGAAAAAGGATTAGACCTAATCTCTGACTTCTTAATTTACTTATTATCTTTAATGAACACAGTGCTCAGCAGTTGTTCCATTACTCCAGAGAAAGGAGAGTGTACTACAAACTACGCATGTAAAAGCACAGTGAAGTGAGCCTTTAGATAAAAACTATAACCCCAATAATAATAATAGTTTGTATGTATAAAGTATGTTTTCAGATGCCCTGAAATCCAGCAATCCTCCAATATTGGACGTATTGTACAGTATCTGTACAAGAAAGAAAAGAAAAGTCTTGGATGGTACAATTGTAAATCCTGTTAAAGGGTTTTTTTTGCTTGAAATTGTGCGTATTGAATGTTTTTCTGACAGGAGCACACTAGAATAGTTCAAACAATATCTATGGTATGCTTTTATAATAATGTCCCTCCCAAAGGCGTGTTGTGGGTTGAAAGACTTTAATGACTGCTTGTTGAAAGCAACTGAACTGAAAACAGATTCGGCTATTTCTAGTCTGTAGTACATATGCCCTTGTGGGCAGCCTGGATTGCCTCCCAGCATGATAGCTTACCTTGTTATCTGCAGGAAACATGTACTCTTGACACAAGACAACAGACAATGAATGGTCATATAACGAGAGAGAAAAAGAGTTTTTTTTTTTAGTTTGTTTAAACTGCACATGGATTAGCTTTTCTAAACTTTGTGCTCCTCTGTGCTTCTTGCATTTATCTGCCACTCAGTTTCATTACCCTCAAATAAAAATGTATTGCACATTTGTTTTTTGAGATAACCATGGCTATGTATAAAAATGAAGAAATATTTGATATGAATAATTTAATTCAAATTTAGGTTGGACTATATACAAGATAAAATGGACCTTTCTGACTTCATGTGGGTAAGCCTAGAATGTAAAATAATTACGAAAGCATCAAAACCAGTTAATAACACAGCAAACTATTCAGTGAGCTCTGTCCAGCCTCTTCCCCAATTAAGGACAATTGGCTAGAGCCAAACTTAAACAAACACACGTTGGTTGGACTTCCATAAAAACACATAAGCAGAAGTTATAACCAAATATGCCATTTTTTCTTGTACTGTAAGGGCCTGCGTGCTGCAAGGTACAAGGTTGAATTTACTGTCATTCACTGTACATTATTTTAGTATTCAGCGCTATGTTTTACGTAATAAGAACAATTACAATTTAAGAAAAAGACATAAAACACCCACAAAGACAGTAAAGTACAATTAGTTTGAAGTGCAATGAATGAGCAGTGCAAAGTAAAAAATTCCAAGTAAGAATATACATAAAATAAATGCTAATAATACCTACAATGATAAACTGGTGGTACGTGTAGTACTTCTGTGGAATCGGTTCATGATAACCCTTCAGATAAACAGTGGAGGGGACACTGGTGTCCTGCTGGTGCCGATAGGGTTAAGGGTGCCAGTTGGCGACATCTCCCACTCGTCAGCTTCGCCCCTTTCTCTTAATCAACCAACCAACAAAACCTCACAGTGTCACATTAGCTTGTCAGCAGTCTTTTCATGAAAAGGCAAAGGACACAACATCAGACAATAACTGATGACATCATGTTCAATTTGGCCGCTTTCCAAATGCAGCCTCACTCAGAAAGGCCAGTGACTTCATGCGACATGGGTACATTTAGCAGACCATCGCATGTAGGCCAGAAAGAAAGAGGAGCATTATGATGGCCACTGGCATGGTACACCGTGTTACAGAAATAGTGAAGATCATCATGTATCTTTAACGTCAAACGAGCCCCTCTCACTTATTATCTTGCAAGCACTCAAGTGCTAGATAGGTGCTGGAAAGTTGAGTGTCAGCGGAGTATTTGAGCCTCAATTCACTGTCCATCTCTGTGACAGTCCATTTATCTGACACCGTCTGTGCTTCTTTCTTGTTTAGTCATGTTGCAACTTGACACAGCATGTACCTACAGTGAGTAAGTTTAACAACTAAATGTCAGCCACAAACTGTTTTTCTTCCTTCTTCATTTTCACCTACACGCCCCCTTTGGCTCATGTATTTCAGGATATAGTTTAAATATCCACAAATCCCTTTGAACGTTCTTGAGCCTGTGTGATGTCTTTTACTGGCTCTGTGGAG